AAAAAAAAAAAAAAAAAAGTTAACATCTAAATCAAAATAAGAAAGGAATACTTACACTTCATTTAAAGCTCAAATTTAAATGTGTAACTCTTTCTTTTTAGTTTTTCAAAGTAAAGTGAAATTCCTTAAGCTTGTCATGTATCTTTACATAGTCTATGTAAGAAGCATTTGCCTACTAAGATTAAAACCTGGAAATGCCCACTGCAGCATACACATGCATAAAGAAATAAATTTATATACATGCATATGATGAAATGTAACTTAATGAGTATCAAAAACAAATTTAATAAATTGAAATCTGAAGTGTGCTGTGGATATCGCTCTGTATGCTGTGAATATGTTGCTCTGATTTGGTTGATAAATAAAACACTGATTGGCCAGTAGCCAGGCAGGAAGTATAGTATAGGTGGAATAAACAGAGGGGTGAATTCTGGGAACAGGAAGGCTGAGTCAGGAGTCACCAGCCAGACACAGAGGGAGCAAGATGACAAGGCAGAACTGAGAAAAGGTGCCAAGCCATGTGGCTAAACAAGAATTATGGGTTAATTTAAGTGTAAGAGCTAGTCAGTAATAAGCCTGAGCTAATGGCCATAGAGTTTGTAAATAATATAAGCCTCTGTATGTTTACTTGGGTCTGAGCAGTTACAGGGCCGCGGTAGTCAAGCAGGCACAGGAAAACTTCAGTTACAGAAGTGATGGGATAGAACAAATCATTTGCCAAAGGTACTATCATTTTGAGAGAAAATGTTTAAAATAGCAATTGAATATTGGAGCATTTAGACCAAAACAAGACCACCCAACAGAAAAATAAATTCAAGATGCTAAGTAAGCAGTTCTGTGGGCACCCACAGGCAAAGCCGCTGTCAGAACTACCACAGGTAGAGCCACTACAGCTGCCAGTGAGCTACGTTAACAGAAAGGTGATACTCCTAAAAACTAAGTTCAAGTATCCTCCCTTTTATGAACATCCATCAGCTGGTTTTAATGCTTTTTACATTTCACAGAAGTACATACAATTTTTGTCATTTACAGTCATTTGTAAACTACCTTTCTTTCCATTTCATTAAAGCTGGCTAACACAACTGACTATACTCTTCACAGCAAGTCAGACATGTTGGAAACCTATTATTTTGAAAAATCAGTTGGATGCAAACAAAAGTTTAAAGCTGACTTGATATATTTCATTGTGTTAAATTTCAGTGTAACTGATAACTCTGAAATCTGGAAAAACTAAAAATACACATAACATTTAAGTTATATTTACACTCTATTAGTTAAAACATGAAAACAAAGTTGCTTTTCCATACCTTTCATATGTTCCAGGATGCTCAATTTGAATGAACTGATCCTGTCCATCAGGAAAAGTTAATCTGCACCAACCCAAGTTGAGACCTTGATTTATCTTAAGCAAAAAGAAGAGGCAAGTTTTATCATTCTAAAACTAAAAACTAAAACTTAGCAACGTCTTTAGAAAAAAAAAAAATAAAGGAGTGGATGAATCATTATCAATTTATCTTGAGAATGGAAAAGAATGCATTTTAAGGGTTGTGGGTATAGGTCATCACCACACAGATGACTATCAGAGAATACAAATGCCAATCCTTGCTGCACTGTGCTTCTTTAGATACATAATGTGACTATTTGTTATACGTCTCTGATTGTTGCTAGGAAATTCACTGAGATCAACAAAGCCTCTTGACAGATTTTATATTTAAAAAGTTTGGTCTCTAGCACCCAAATGATGGCTCACAATTGCCCATGACTCTAATTCCAGGGACTCAGATGTCCTCTTTTGATCCCAAGAGCTCCTGCATGCACATGGTGCACATACACTAATACAGGTGCACACACATACACATAAAAAACCCAACAACACAATAATTGGATTAGAGTAGTACTGCTTTCTATAGATAAGTAACCAATCAGGATATATTTCACTGTAGATATCAGACTATAGTTAAGGATAATGTACTATGTATTTGAAAAAAAAAAACCTAGAAGATAGGATCTTGAATCACAAAGAAATGATAAGGAGGAAATTTGAGGAGATAATGTTTGTCCTGATAGTAATAATCTATAATATACACAAGTATCAAAGATTAGAATGGTATCTCATATGTGACAATCACAAACGCTGTAACAGATTTGACTGAGCATAAGGAGAGGATTTCAGTGTTACACAGCAGTTCTTAGCCTGTGGGTTACAACTCCCACAGGTGTCCCGTATCAGATCTTCTTCATTTCAAATAACAGTAGCAAAACTACAGTTAGGAAGTAGCAACAGAAGTATTTTAGGGCTGGGGGGGGGTGCGGGGGGCAGCACAGCATGAGGAACTGTATTAAAGGAGCCTTAGGAAGCTTGAGAACCAGTCTTAGGTATACTCACTGGTCTTTTTTCAGCAGAGGAGCTGAAATTCCAATTCAGCGTTAAAGTGACGCCATCTAAAAAGACAGCGTGAACTTTTTCATCAGAGTAGGCAAGAAATCTCCCCACATTGGGTATGAGTGATTCTTTCAGAACCATGGGCAGGGTATTGTTAACATTTATTCCAGGTACCTAAAACCAAGTAAATAAGATAGCACAAGGCAGTTTTCTGTGAAAAAGATTAAATAATTATTAATGAACCCTGAAGCAACTCAAGATTCTTCCTCAGAAGTTGAGTGCTACAGAACTCTTATCCATATTTTAACTTTTCAAGAGTTACACACCCGAAACTGTCTACCTAAGAAGATGGACTTCTAATATCTCTGTAAGCTACCATCCTGCTATGAACTTTACACAGGCAAAAACTGTGGATTATAACAGCATATATGTTTACAAAATAAAAACGGGCTAGTATAGCTTTGTGATAAGAGTGTGTGACTGGCATGCTCTGAGCCCAGGTTTGAATCCCAACATGATGGGGATGAGGGATTACATACAATAAATCTTTTTCTCCCCAAGTTGCTTTTGGTTATGGTGTTTCACCACAGCAATAGAAACTCTAACTTAGACAGGGTTTCTCTGTGTAGCCCTGGCTGTTCTGGAACTCATTCTGTAGATGAGGTAGAGATCTGCCTGCTTCTGCCTCCCCAGTGATAGGATTGAAGGTCTGTACCACCACACCTGGCTCAAGGTAGGTATTCTCTTGAATGCACCAATTTGAATGTTACAAAGAATCTCTCACATGACTTAGATGAAAGCAGTTTGAATGTACAAGAATGAATCCGAGCAACTAACAGCCCTGCTCTCAGCATACCGTATGAATCCAAGCAACTAACAGCCCTGCTCTCAGCATACCGTTTTCCAGCAGCAGGCGTGATAGTTGTGACTCAGCGAAAGCCTTGTCTTGGCACAATGTTGAAGAATTCTGTGAACATGAAAACCATTCCCTAAATGTTTGCAAACAATGACATTTTCTCTATTTTCAAACCCCTGCTCTGTGGGAGGCCAGCTCCCACCTTTTCAAGCGTTCTTATTAAAGCAACCCTAGGGATCTACACCTGTCCAGAGAAACAGCACTTCAGAACCTCTCAGCACCGACTCACTCCCTGCATGGAGGTTTATCCAGACTTAAACTTCAAAGCCAAAACACTCTTGTAATAACATGGATTACTTTTTAAATTGTGAGACCAGAAGACTTGACATATTTGTAGCAAAGACATGTATTTCCATTGTACCCACTGAATTCTAACCTTAACCAGGAAAAACACATCAAGGAAAACACAAAAAATCAGATGCATGATTTTTCTGCTCAGTTGAACATCACGGACTCACCTGGCTGCCTGTTTAATCAAAGAACGTACAGAGAAGAGACTTCCTGGTCTGTCTGGAGGAAGGTTATTTATGGAATAAGTTTTCTCTTCTCTCTGAAAGTGTAAAGCAACAACAACAACAAAAATCTCAATAATAAATCTGGTCCTTATTACTTCATACTATTACTTAATAAACAACTATTTTTTCCTTGAAGTACTTATATAATACCAACAAAGCAAGCAAATGTTTTAATACTCTAAGCCCATAAAACCTGCACATTTTAATGGTAATTTTATGATGCCTCTCTGGTGGAGGGTAGGGGGAGATGCATGCTACTGTGTCCACCTTTTATGTGGGTCCTGGGGAATCTCAACTTAGGTCCTCATGCTTATGTGGCAAACATTTTTTTTTTTTTAAGATTTATTTATTTATTATGTATATAGAAGAGTGCGCCAGATCTCATTACAGATGGTTGTGAGCCACCATGTGGTTGCTAGGAATTGAACTCAGGACCTCTGGAAGAGCAGCCAGTGCTCTTAACCTCTGAGCCATCTCTCCAGCCCCCATGTGGCAAACATTTTATCCACAGAACCATCTACCTAGCCCCCAATAGATGCTTTTGACTTTGTAAATACTAATTAAAAGTGGTAGGATGACTCAAAAGTAATGCTCTGGGCTTAGCATTTTCTAGTGACAAATTCTATGAAAAGAAATTTAGCTTCTGATTTAAACAAACTGTTTAGGGTGTTAATGGATAACGGTGGGCGTGACTACTATAAAATAAAGTGATTGATAATTCATCAGGTATCAATGCTGACAGTAAGATTATATTAATTTTTTATGGTGAGGGGTGGAAAGTAATGTTACATAAAACGTCAAATTTCTCATATATATATATATGACTTTAGAAATAACTTTTTATAAAAACTTTTGAATTTTCATAGTTAGCTTACCTTTTCTGATTCTTCTTGATTCGGATAATATGTAAAATAGTTACCAAAATAAGCTCCTTCTGACTTGAAAACTGATCCATCTCCAGGATAAATCTCTATCGAGTTTTCATTTTTATGGGTAAGCCTAAAGTAGAGAAAATTGTTTTTTTTTTAAATTAAGACTAATACATCCATGAAAGCACTCATTAAGACAACAATAAAACCCCAAACAACAAAACAAAAACAGAGACAAGGGTAATTCTGAACCAAAGAGAAACAGAACACACAAAAGTGCCTTATATGTTTATTTCAACAGCTAAGCTCAGAGCTTC